CTCACTTTTCCCTGATCCTCTCCTCCCTGCGTGACCTAGGATGGATATGGGATGGGCCTGGGTCCTCCTCTGACTGCTCAGCCGGCCTCTGCCCTCCCCCAGCCTCCTCCACCACCTCTGGAGCCACACTCCCACTCCCTGTTGGCTGTTCCTCCTCTTCCTCAGAGTCAGTCTCCACCAGGGGCATGACAGACCCAAACATAATGATTAAATGTAAATAGTATAGTTCTTTCTTGCCAAATCCTAATTGCAATGAAATAATTTGCATTGTTCAGGAGAGATCTTTCCACAAATCCATTTCTCGTCTTAGGAGCTTTTAATATTGCCACGGTTGGGAACTGCTTTGTCCTAAGGCATACATTCCACTGTCCTTATTGGGAGAGTTCCAACCAAATCCACCCACTACTCTCATTTATGTTTGTTTTGAACCTGAAGATCTTTCTTTTAGGCCTCTTCTCCCTTTTGCACCTCAGTCACTGTTACAAACTGGATAAGGCTAACGGAAGATAAAAGTCAGAGCTGGGCAGACATTCTTGTCTTGGGAAGCAGACCCCATCTGGATACGCCAGCTGAAAATTTAATTTTCAAACCCTCAGATGAATGGGACCGTCTTGAACTCCAAGGCCTCTGTCCATACTGAATAGTGATACAAAGAGATTACATGTCTTATTCTGACTTCAGATTTTGAACATATTCACGGCCAAAGTGCTGTGAATTTGGGTGGACATAATTGGGTTATGATAACCCCAGAATTTGTCCAGATGTGGAGCATCAGCAACAATGGTCTGGAATGGAAGTCAGAGATAAAAATAGGAAAAACTGGCTTCTCAACAAGAGGGCAGGGGATGGGGGAACGTCTTCCATTCTGGTTTTCTTTTAATTTGTTCTATGAAAAGTCTGCCTTTGCCCGGAAGGTGTAAGGTCATCCTGCTATCAAGCAAACAGGATAAGGATGGACTATAACGAGATCATTCTAAGGAGATTGTGGGCATATATTTTAGGTAGGAAGGTATAACAGGACAGTAGATGCTTTCATATGGAAATCCAACACAATGTGATAGAATGTAGTAAGGAACTGGATCCCCAGGAGGAAGGGGGTTTATTCCAGAGGAGCAAGAGGCAACTCAGTCCAGCGATCATGTGTGAGAGAAAGAGGGTGGAGACAGTCCCTACATAACAGCCCTTAGGAGTATATTGTAGATGCAGATAGTAGACTGGCAAAACGTTGTCTATGAGTCTGAAACAATAAAGAACTCAGCCTGGAAGGACTGCCAGGCGCCATTCTTGGTTTGAGGTCCACCACACAATTCCCTAAAAAGACAGAACTGCCATTGCAAAGAGACAACCTCCCTGACTGGGTTGCCCCAGTCCATTTCCAAGGCTGCTGCTGGGCCATCCCAAAACTGGGCCATCCCAAAATGAAAATTACTTATACCCACTTGCAACTGAACATTTTTTTAGAAGCTACAACTGTACCCTATGCCCTAAAGCTACAACTATGCCCTAAAATTCCAGAGCCAAAATTATACTGAACTATTCCTGTTTCAGTGGAGAATTCTGGTTAATCTCCTCGTCTCCATTCATTTCCATAATGCAGCTGCTTCTTTTTCTCCCAGAAGTGGCTTCGATTGGTAGTTTTGAATTGTTAAATAAGGCAGGAGAAAGGGGGGGGGGGGACAGCTCTGCATAGTTGGATGGATGCCATAGCTCTAAAAACCAACCTCTCACAGTATTAATGATGACAGGACTAAAATAGTTATCGATCCAGACCAAAGGTCAACTTGCAACTTTCCATCTTCTCATGAATACTAAGTATCTCGGTACTATCCTTTTCTTAACCTAAGATGATATACAGTTGAGAGGTTTTTCCATTGTATTATTTAAAAAAAAGACTCTGGAGAGAATGCAGAGAACAACAAGAAGAATGGTTAGGGGCCTGGAGGCTAAAACATATGAAAAACGATTGCAGGAATTGGGTATATCTAGTCTAGTGAAAAGAAGGACCAGGGGCGACATGACAGCAGTGATCCAATATTTGAGGGCCTGCCCCAAAGAAGAGGGGAGTCAACCTACTTTCCAAAGTCCCAGAAGGCAGGACAAGAAGCAATGGAGGGAAACTAATCAAGGAGAGAAGCAACCTGGAACTAAGGAGACATTTCCTGATGGTGAGAACAATCGGTCAGGGGGTTGGCTTGCCTTCATCACTTGGAGGCTTTAAGAAGAGATGGACAACCATTTATCTGAAATGGTGCAGGGTCTCCTGCATGTCCAGGGGTTTGGACTGGAGAACCTCCAAGGTCCCTTCCAACTATTATTCTCTGTTCTATGTTAGGTTAACCTTTTTTCCAAAGCACCCGAAGGCAAGGCAAGAAGCAACTGATGGAACTTGATTGAGAAGCAATGCAGAGCTAAGGAGAACACTTCCTACCAGTGAGGACAATGAACCAGCAGAATGGCTCGCCTCCAGGGCAAGGCCTGCAAAGTACCTTCCAACACTGTTCATTTGTTCTGTTTTGTTCTTACGGGGTATCTTACATTAGCTCCCTGCAAACAGCAGAAGGAAGCTAATGTATGCCTGACTGTCTTGTTTAGTGCTGTTCCTTTAGAGAAGTAATAATCCATAATTAATTTGGTATAACTAGTCCTGTCCTTCTCTGTTTGTTCTCAAGTTATTCCATGTATCATGCTTCAGTGAATATCAAAGAGTCAACAAGGCTCTAAAAAGACCACAACCAAGATACCAAGTTCATCTCCATTAAGAAAATAATTCCTTATTTGCATTACAACATGCAAAGGAGTAAGGAAAGAACAGAAAGAAAAGAGAATTAATCATGTTCCCCTCCTCTCCTGCCTAAACTCCCCCTCCCACCAATTTAGGTTTCTCCCACCAATCCCCATCAATCACATCTCTTAATTTAAATTAAATAATTAATATATGCCAATTAGGTGGCCATGCACAACTAACAAATATCCAGACAAAATATTTCACATTAGTTTTAATTTATGTGTAGAACTTGAACAACAAAGCCACTACTCTTTTGCAATAAGGAATATCTGAAAGAAAATATTAGAAAATAAGATTTCACTTTAAAAAAAAACTATTTCAAGAATACATACACGGAGAAGATGTTTAGCGTAAGAATATTCTACAATTGGGGAGTGGAATATTATATTAAGTTCCTGGCTGATCGAAGCCTGATAAACACGTGATATTATGTACATATTAGAAGTATAATAAAAAAATAAAACAAAGGCAATTTTATCTCTCTGCAAATGAGACAGCTAATTTTGCCTGATACAGCATAGCTCTGATATATTCATTAAGCCATTTATTACACTAGCGTTAAGTAAAAATGTGTTGGGGAATGGATTGTGAGAATAAGATGTGATTTAACTCAGAAAATGTTTAATATGAGTTTAACCTGTACAGGATTTGTGTTTTATCTGGCTGACTGTGCAGTATACCACAATACAGGTAGTCCTTGACTTATAACTACAATTGAGCCCAAAATTTATGTTGCCAAGCAAGACGTTCGATAAGTAAGTTCTGCCCTATTTAACAACCTTTCTTGCCACTGTTGTTAAGTGAATCACAGCAGCTGTTAAGTTAGTTACATGTTTCTTAAGTGAATCTGACTTTCCCATTGACTTTGCTTGTCAGAAGGTCGCAAAAGGGGATCTCGTGACCCCCTAGGACAACCACATCATCAATGTCAGTCAGTTGCCAACGGTCTGAATTTTGATCACATGACCACAGGGATGCTCCAACGGACGTAAGTGTGAAAAATGGTCATCAGTCCCTTTTTTTCAGTGATGTAACTTTGAACAGTCACTAAATGAACTGTTGTAATTCAAGAACTACCTAATAATAAAAAATAAAAAATAAAAAACCATGGTACACAAGCCACAAAGACAGGCTTCTGAAAAGATGCTCTCAACCAAAAGCAAATAAAAACCAAATAAATCACTCAAGTCCAATTCTTAGCTTCTCCCCCTGGGAAAGAGTTATTAATAGTGTTATGACTAAGACAGCTGACCAAACAGAGCTTCTCCATTCATCTGCCTTCGTGGGAGTGTGGTAGGAATAAGAGGAGGAGGAGGAGATATCTCCTGTACAGCATTTAATTCCCGGGAAAAGGGAGACTCTAAATGCAACAACAATTTAGATAAATACGTGTGAAAGTCCAAGAAAGGAAATAGGAAAGAAACCCTAAGCGTTTTAATAGTAGTAGCTGTAACTAACCAAAGAGGGCGCTCATCCAACATCAGCGCATTGCAGGAGCTTCACACGCATCTGCCCAAGTTAACTTAATCACGGTGGACTCAATGGGGAAGGGTGGCCTTCAGCTAAAGAAACCCCTGAATTTCCTAATGAGCAACGCCACGCCCCCCCCCTCCAAATGTCTCTCATGCAGACATCAAAGCAACAGGGCTTGGAGAGGGTGGGTAAGCCATTCCCCAGTGAAAATGCAGGGCATAAATTGCCTATGCAAATAACTACATAAATCCCCAGAGGTCAGCTGTCAGGAAGTGAGTGCCTGATCTGCTCTGAAGTCTTGCACTGAGCCATAGGCAGAAGTGAAATATTGCAAGGAGGGCCACCTACCTCCCAATCCAGGACAGATGCCTGCCACTGAGCGATCTTGTCTATGTTCTCCAGTCTCCTCTTCCGCTCGTTGATCTGCTGGGTCACATTCCTCATGACAGCAAGCGCAGCGGCCACGTATCGGTAGTCACTGGGGAGAAAAAAGGGATGGAGGAAGAGCCTGTAAAATCACAGAAGTGATGGAACAATGGTGAGGTCGCCTGGGAACATGATGAGGTGCGCATGGAAAATTGAATCAAACCACCTAAGCCTAAGGGAGCCATTCCGGTAGGCAGAGGTTCTTTGGTGTCTCCCAAAGAAGTCTAGCCCTTCAAGTACAAAATTAAACCAGATTACAACAAGAATGATTAGGGAGCTGGAGAATGGCCACAGGAATTGGGTGTGTTTTGTCTAGTGCAAAGAAGGACCAGGGCTGCAGGATAGCACTGTGCCGATATTTGAGGGGCTCCTACAAAGACAAGATCAAACTATTTCCAAAGCGCTAAAAGGCAAGCCAAGAAACAACGATGGAAACTAACCAAGGAGGGGAGCAACTTAGGTGACAGCAATCAACCAATGGAACAGCTTGACTTCAGAAGTTGTAGGTGCTCCATTACTGAAGGCTTTCAAAAAGAGACTGGACAACCATTTATCTGGAATAGTACAGGGTTTCCTGCTCAAGCAAGGGATTGGACTAGACCTCCAAGATCTCTTCCAACTCCATTATTCTATGTTCTACTTTTTTTCACAAGAATTTTGCCCACTTTGCCTGATCTATGGTCTTTTCTTCATCCCATATGGTTGGCAAATTATCTTTGCACAGAAGTATGGACCCCTGAATTCCAGTTGAGAACTTCTTCACTAGAGCCAGCAAAGGCTGCACACTCCAATGGTTTGTCCTGCTAAAGAATCCTTAGTTATGGTTTCTTGAATAAACCATGCAATGGTGGCTAAGTGAGGTAGCAATTTAGCCAAAGGTCTGGAGGAACTTTCAGACAGATCTCAAACTCAATTCAGATGGGATACAATAAGCTCCTTTATGGTTGTAGAATTATGTTAGAATTATTCTGCAAGTTTTTCCATCGCTCCTGCTCTAATCAGATGACATTTGATGAATTTCTTCAACATATACAAAAATTGGTGACTTTCTCATGTGTAAGTATAGCATTAGTTTGTTTCAAAATCTTCAAGAATCTCCACACATATGTCCGGTCTTGAATTATGCAATCCCTTCCTTAGGGTGATATAAATTCCTTGACTTTCTCTACTCCTATTACTCTAAGCCTTTTCGTAGCAGGAAGTGTTAACAGCAAGGGAGTCTACAAGAGAGATGGAAAGCCATGTCATAAACACACACAGACAATGGTAGCATCCATTGCAAGCTCAAATGCACAACCTTAAAAAGCCCACAAGGAGAAACACTAAAGGAATTCTCATGGAGAATTGAGGCAATGAGCACCAATAGCCAGAGAAATAATCAAAGTCTGAGAAACAAGGTCCCTTGTCAGTCAATAAGTGTCACCAGCTTATCACCAGCTTATGAGATATTTTGGAGCCACAAGGAAACAATAACTACAAGTATGACACACAACCTTACTTTTTATATACATTGCTCACTATTATGTGAAACTGTCTTGCCTCGTCACGTTGCTGTCATGTGACATTTTGCAATGTTTTTCCCATTTGTGGAGCTGGGGAGGGTGGTATTTTTGAGCTTCTGGTACTGCACTCCTGAAGGGGAATTATTTTCTATGGCTCATTCTATGACTACCCTACTCTACCCAGGAACCCATCACCAGAGCTGCTCTGAAAGCAAAATCATCAGACCCAAAATGAAAACTAACATAACACAGAATGACATGGAATAGCAGAGTTGGAAGGGACCTTGGAGGTCCTTTAGTCCAGTGGTCCCCAACCTTTTTTGTACCAGGGACCAGTTTCAAGCAGAAACACTTTTTCAAGGACCGGCGGGGGGGGGGGATTCTATTTTCCATTCCCAAAACTTTATGTTTACCCTACAACTAGCATTAAAGACACCTGACTGCAGTCTCTCTAGTTCTAGGTCTTGCCCAGCTGTGTAGCTACAAAATTTCATGCAGATGTTTCTCTTATCTCTGTTTGGTGAAAACAGGAATTGAATGAGGAGCATTTAGTCAGTGTGTTTTCCCTAGGAAGCTCCTGTAGTCCTTGTTTAGGGATCATTCAGAGCTACGATGGACCTCTTAACATCCAGCCCAGGAAGAAACTGCTTCAAAGAAGCTGGGGGGGTGGCTTTTCCTGTCGCCGCAGCTCCTCCGAAGTGCCCGTTCACCCCCGCCCGCCCGCGCGCGGTTCAATCCACAGTGCTCCGTTCTGCCTGCCTGCCTGCCTGCTTGCCTGCGTTTCTGGTTGTTTCGGAGCAGCTTCGGCTGATAAAAAGAGGCGAATAGTTATTATTCTCAGCCGAAGCTGCTCCGAATCAACCAGAAACGAAGGCAGGCAGGCAG